CAGGCCAATACCCCTGATGAACATTGATGTGAAAATCCTCAATAAGATACAGGCAAACTGAATTGACAGCACAACAAAAAGCTTATCCATCACAATCAAGTCGTCTTCATCCCTGGGATGCAAGGCTGGTTCAACATATGCAAATCAATAAACATAATCCATCACATAAACAGAACCAAAGACAAAAAACACATGATTATCTCAATACTTGCAGAGAAGGCCTTCGACAAAATTCAGCAGCCCTTTATGCGAAAAACTCTCAATAAACTAGGTATCGACAGATCAGACCTCAAAATATTAAGAGCTATTTATGACAAACCCACAGCCAATATCATACTGAATGGGCAAAAACTGGAAGCATTTGCTTTGAAAACCAGCACAAGACAGAGATGCCCTCTCACTACTCCTATTCAACATAGCATTGGAAGTTCTGGCCAGGGCAATCAGGCAAGGGAAAGAAATAAAGGATATTCATATAGGTAAAGAGGAAGTCAAATTGTCTCTCTTTGGAGACGACATGGTTATATATTTAGAAGACCCCATTGTCTCAACCTAAAATCTCCTTAAGCTGATAAGCAACTTCAGCAAAGTCTCAAGATACAAAGTCATTGTGCAAAAATCACAAGCATTTCTATACCCCAGTAACAGACAAACAGAGAGCCAAATCATGAGTGAACCTCCATTCACAATTCCTACAAAGAGAATTAAACACCTTGGAATACAACTTACAAGGGATGTGAAGGACCTCCTCGAGGAGAACTACAAACCACTGCTCAAGGAAATAAGGGTGGACACAAACAAATGGAAAAACATTCCATGCTCATGGTTAGGAAGAATCAATATTGTGAAAATGGGCATACTGCCCAAAGTAATCTATATATTGAGTGCTATCCCTACCAAGCTATCATTCACTTTCTTCACAGAATTGGAAAAAAAACACCTTAAATTTCATATGGAACCAAGAAAGAGCCCACATAGCCAAGACAATTCTAAGCAAGCAAACAAACAAACAAAAACAAAGCTGGAGGTATCACGCTGACTTCAAACTGTCCTACAAGGCTACAGTAACAAAAACAGCATGGTACTGGTACCAAAACAAATGTATAGACCAATGGAACAGAAACAGAGTCCTCAGAAATAACACCGCACACCTACAATCATCTGATCTTTGACAAACCTGACAAAAACAAGCAATGGGGAAAAAATTCTCTATTTAATAAATGGTGTTGGGAGCTTGCTAGCCATATGCAGGAAGCTGAAACTGGATCCTTTCTTTACACCTTATACAAAAATTAACTCAAGATATATTAAAGATTTAAATATAAGACCTAAAACCATAAAAACCCTAGAAGAAAACCCAGACAATACCATTCAGGACATAGGCGTGTGCAAAAATGTTCATGACTAAAATACCAAAAGCAATGGCAACAAAAGCCAAAATAGACAAATGGGATCTAATTAAATTAAAGAGCTTCCATGCAGCAAAAGCAACTATCAGCAGAGTAACAGGCAGCTTACAGAATGGAAGAAAAATTTTGCAGTCTTCCCGTCTGACAAAGGGCTAGTATCCAAAATCTACAAAGAACTTAAACAAATTTACAGGAAGAAAACAACCCGTCAAAAAGTGGGTGAAGAATATGAACAGACACTTCTCAAAAGGAGACATTTATGCAGACAACAAACATGAAAAAAAGCTCATCACTGGTCATTAGAGAAATACAAATTAAAACCGCATTGAGATACCATCCCACACCAGTTAGAATGGCAGTCATTAAAAAGTCAGGAGACAACAGATGCTGGAGACGATGTGGAGGAATAGGAATGCTTTTGCACTTTTGGTGGGAGTGTAAATTAGTTCAACCATTCTGGAACACAGTGTGGCGATTCCTCAAGGCTCTGGAACTAGAAATACCATTTTACCCAGTAATCCTATTACTGGGTATATACCCAAAGAATTATAAATCGTTCTCTTATAAAGACACATGCACATGTATGTTTATTGCAGCACTGTTCACAATAGCAAAGACTTGGAACCAACCCAGATGCCCATCACTGATAGCCTGGATAAAGAAAATGTGGCACATATACACCATGGAATACTATGCAGCCTTAAAAAATGAGTTCATGTCCTTTGCAAGGACATGGATGAAGCTGGAAATCATCATTCTCAGCAAACTAACACAAGAACAGAGAACCAAATACCACATGTTCTCACTCATAAGTGGGAATTGAACAATGAAAACACATGGTCACAGGGAGGGGAACATCACACACTGGGGACTGTCAGGGGATGAAGGGCTAGGGGAGAGATAGCATTAAGAGAAATACCTAATGTAGATGATAGGGTGATGGATACAGCCAACCACCATGGCACATGTGTACCTATGTAACAAACCTGCATGTTCTGTACCCTGTGCCCCAGAACTTAAAGTACAATTAAAAAAAAAAAAAAATCGCCCAACACACCTCTGCCACAGAAAGAATGTATTCCACTTTAATGGAACAGAATCTATGATTACTCCTATTCTAAAGCCATTAAAGTGTCTCTTAGTTCCTTAACCCTCATTTTTCTTATGGATATATATTACTTAGTTCTTGCTTTTTGTCAGTCTTCTCCAAACATCAACGCCAACAACCTTTCTCTTATAGGTTAAATTTTGCAACTCCCTGAATGAGGAGAAACCAAATTTGTGAGTACTTTACCTGTTCAAATTTATAAGTGAATAGTCTGGAAATGGTCTGTGGCCTCAAGGCTGAGTTTTAGTGTCCTGGGCAAATCCTTTTGCCACCTGCTTCTGCATTAAGGGGCAATCTGCCCAGTAATGTTCAACATATGTAACTAGTCCATGTGCATGGTTTCTGCTTCCTGTCTGGTGTGCAGTCTAGCTTCTGGGACTGTAATCTTGGTTTAGCCTCCTCATCATTGACCCAGTACTCTAATCCTCTTTCTTTTTTTCTGTAAATCTGCTTTTCCTGGGGACTGAACTTTCTTTTAGGCCACTTTCAAACTGGACTAACCTAATTACAGACAAAATTATGCCCAACAACAAGTATAGCTACTATCTAGAGACTCTCCTATAGTGCTCTGTCTTCTTACGTAGAATCCTCTGAATATCAGCATAAGTCTGAACTAGGTTCAAATTTATACTTCTCCTTGAAGACCAGCCCTACTGCCAAGTTAATTCCCTTAGCCCCAATTTTGCTGGTTCTGGTTAACTCTTCCATTCCTTTTTTCTACTGTTGACAGCGTAACATATCTGAGTACAGAGTCCACATGTGTTGGGACACATTCCTGGAGGTCTGAGAGCAGGAAATAATGAGAATAGTTGTGAATGCCTCTGTGTCATGGGGTTTAACTTGTTGCATAATTCTCTGTCCTAGGAAGAAGGTAGAACATGGCTCTGCTGAGGAGTCTTGAGTCCAAGATATTAGCTGTTGGTTTACTACAACTAGGACAGCCACAATAGAGTTGGATCTCCATTCTTAAATGTGCAGAATAGTAATGCTGATTTATGGAAGGACTACAAATTCCGTAGTTGAAATAAAACCATTTTTTTGGAGTTAAAAACTCTGCTTTTCATAGAGGGAAGATTACTATTAATATCCAGTTTAGAATTAATAAAAACTTTGAATCTAGTAAATTCTTTATGTCCTGTACTTAAGGCTTTTCTTGCTTGGAGATGATAGGAATGGAATCCTGTTCCAGTGAATCCAGCCTGACTAATTTTTTTTTTTTTGAAACAGCCAGTTGAATTCCTACATAGACAATTCCAGGATGCTTATGAGACATGAATTAGGACATCAGCAACAGGTAAGTTTAATAACACAAATGAAAACAATTGGCTGATAAGACCCTACAATATTCCTCAGGGGAGTTACTTAGTAAAACAGAATGAGTTTTTCCAATATTGATAGAACAATTATAATGTTTTCCATAGAGGAAAATGATCTTTTAATACTGGATTTCAAGAAATCACTGTCATCAGTAAGAGCAGTTTTGAAGGTTATGTATACTCTTTGGAGTAAAAACAAGTGGGAGATGAGGAAAGGGAATCATATATTAGATATGATAGATCTTTTTTCCACAATAGTTCTCACAAATCTGATCAGGTGACTATGACCAACACTTTATTACAAGATAGAAAAGATGGAAATATATAATCTGGTTACTACTGACCAGAAGAGTCAATATCCCTTGAATATTATATTTATATAGACTGGATACATTTTATGGGATTTAGGTCAAAAGGTACACTGTACTATGACTAAGATTTTCTCCTTCCATTATCAGAAAGTAGATATGAGAACAAAAAGAATACTATTCTATCAAGCTACATGACCTTTGATGGTCAAAAAATGTTTTAAGAAATGTGTTCTTCCATTCATGTATTTATTCATTCAATAAGTAGAGTACCTAATACTAGAAATTGGGTAAGGCCCTGTATACAGAGGAAAACAAAATAACCATGGTTCCTGACAGTTTACTGATTATAATCTAGTGGTGCATTTAACACACAATAAAAGATTAATAATTATACTAAAACTGTGAATAATGCTGTAAGGGTCAAAACAATAGGGTCTATTTGAAAAGCAATGTGATGCTCTTAACTTGATTTTACGGGTAGAGGGAGCCAATGAAAACCTCTTTGAAGAAAAGATAGGTATTTAAGCTAAGACTGAGGGATACAGTTGTTAACAGGACAAAGAGAAGGCAGCATAAGAAAATCAGGCAGAAATATCAGCAGAGATGAAGAGAGAGGTGTAGAGAGAGCAGTTAGGGTGTTTGGGGAACAGAACATTCATATAGTTAGGACAGAGAGTTAGGGTGATAATGGCTCTAAATACAGCTGCAGAGGTAGGCAGGGACCCTATCCTTGCAGAGCCTTAAGCATAGCTGAAGGCTAAAAAAAGAAAGTCTGATATGTGGATGGGATGAGGAATCATATAGAAATTATCTTTCTACCACAGTTGGTACCAAAAATAAAAAGCAGATTAATTTAAAATGGGGTGAATTTACTGAACTGTAGACTAAAGAACTACATAGACCAGTGCTCTGTATTGTATCCTGCCTTTTCATGGCTTCCTTCTAGGAGACTTACTATTTTTGGCTACATAGTATTTTCCAAATATACATATTTGTAATTCATATGTATATAGACACACACACATCAAATATGTTTCACACACACACACATTTTCCCCAATTAACATTTGGCTCAGCTGAGAGCTCTGTGAAAGGTTACACTGGTGAAAATCTTTAGTCGTTAAGGCTGGATTGACAATTGAGCAATCCATCATTAGTTGGTGAATTTGTTTCAGATATGTCGAATTTGAAGCCATTACAGAACAACTATATTGAATTGTTCTAGGTTGTTGTGGATGAAAACACATGTTCAGGATTTAAATGAAACTGTTGTTCATAAGGCTGGCATTGTAGCAAGGAAGGAATGGGGTATTCACAGCCAAATCTGGGGACTATCATATCCTGGTGTCTTAGAACATCACACTTACATGTTGTTGTTTTTTTTTAAATATACAAAAGTGTATGTTAAAACTTCTTTGAGCAGTGCTTCATGGCCAGAGGCAGGAAAGGCCTTGTGACCCATATTTAGGTGGGAAATAGGAAAACAATTGACAACTCAACAGGGAAGGGGAAAAAGACTTTGTTATGAGTGAGCAAAGTTCAAAAGCCTTTTTGAAAAGACTTTTAGCAAACATTCAAAAGTGGTCACATATAAATAATATTTTGTTTATAAAATAGGTTGCAGTAGTTTCCTAGGAGAGTAAAATATTAAAGATATTTTTTAGCTGTGATTTAAATTTTTAGAACATGTGACACAAAGATCTACTGACCATAGAAGGACTGATTTCCTCATCAGTAGCCATTTTGGAAATTTGAGCCTGGAATGAAGCAAGAAAGATTAGAGATAAAGATGCAGACTGAAGAATTATTATTACAAAGATGATGATTAAATGCTTGTGTATCAATTAATAAACTGATTCAGGAAAAGAATAATGATCAATGGTTCTGTTTAGGCTGCCGTTAGAATCACCTGGAAAGTTTTTGAAAACCACTGAGGCAGCCCCACCTAAAAGATTCTGCTTTAGTTGATCTTGAGTACGAGGCATCCATTTTTTAAATTGCTCTCCAGGTAATCATAATATGCAGTCAAGGTTGAAAACCTTAGTACAGATAGAGATGGGCTAACAGTGGAGTCCAAGGAAGAGTTGCAGTGATACAGAATGTTAGGCAAAATGTTGGCCTTCATGGTCTTCACCTCCTGGGATTACTCCTTTGAATATGTTATATTACATGGCAAAAAGGTCTTTGAAGATGTATTTTAAGTTGCTAATCAGTTGATTTTAAAACAGGGAGCTTCTCCTGTATTTTCTAGGTGGACCTAATGTAGTCATATAAGCCCTGGAAAACAGAGCTCATTTTCTGCCTGATAGTAAAAGAGGAGTCAGATATCTGAAGCCTAAGGATTAGAAATGTCCCCTTTGACGTAGAGACTAAGGGGATCATATGTCAAAGAAACAGGAAAACGAGTTCCTACAATCACAAGGAACTGAATTCTATCAACACTGTAATGGGTTTGGAAGCAGAAACTTCCCCAGAGCCTCAGCCTGATTCCTGCCTTGTGAGGCCCTTAGCAGAGAATCCAGCTGAGCCATTCTGTTACCAGACTTCTGACCCACTCACTGTGAGATACTAAATGGGTGTTTAACCTGCCGAATTTGTGATTCTTTGTTATGGCAGCAATAGAAAACTAACACACAGAAATGAAACTGGAAGAGTCTAATATCACAAAAGCCAAGGCCGAAAGAAAAGATGTACTTTGTACTTTTTATTTAAGAAGTCATTGACTTTTTTTTTTTTTTAAATGAGACAGGGAATCATTCTGTCACCCAGACTGTAGAGCAGTGGCATGATCATGCCTCACTGCTGCCTCCACGTCCTTGTGGTTCAGCTTGCATTTGAAGTACAATACTCAGCAAACTTAGCCTGACATTGCTCATTTCTTACATATAGCATTTATCTTTTCTAATACATTTAAGTAATTTCAGTTGAGTACTGAGTCTTTTCTCAATCAAAAGTAGCACTATCATTTCCAATAAGAGGAATTTTAGATGGGATTTTGCTATGTAGGTAAGGTCCAAAGGTAGGAGTAGGAACTGAATCTGGTAATAGAGGGCAGGAAGACATAGATAAGCGTAGAGGCAAATCTTCTGTGGGAGTCAGGATGGGAAGCAAATGAAGACTATGCAAGTGGGAGCAGAGCCCTGTGGCAGAAAGGAGTATGCAAAGGCCTGCATGTGCTAGAAGGCAGGGAATCCACCCACCTTTTACCCAGATGAGTCTAGTAGGTGTGTTCTGGGGTCTCATGCTATCTTGGCATCCTAAATGGAGGGACGAACAGCAATGTCTATTTTTTTTTTATTTTTTATTTTATTTTATTTATTTTTATTTATTTTTTTTTTTTGAGACGGAGTTTCACTCTTGTTACGCAGGCTGGAGTGCAATGGCGCGATCTCGGCTCACCGCAACCTCTGCTTCCCGGGTTCAGGCAATTCTCCTGCCTCAGCCTCCCAAGCAGCTGGGACTACAGGCACGTGCCACCATGCCCAGCTAATTTTTTGTATTTTTAGTAGAGACGGGGTTTCACCATGTTGACCAGGATGGTCTCGATCTCTTGACCTCGTGATCCACCCGCCTCGGCCTCCCAAAGTGCTGGGATTACAGGCTTGAGCCACCGCGCCCGGCCTAGCAATGTCTAAAAGCGATTAGAAGTGTTGACTTCTGAGAAAGTAACTGGGATGCCAGTGAAGGGAGGAATGTAACCGCAAGCTAATACTGAGGAAGAGAGGTAAGCAGCCAGTAACATGAGGGGCCAGGACATGAAACTGCATGGCCCATATCCACAATGGTAAATTTAATTATTTTAGTTGTTCAGAAGCTACTTTTGAGCCCCTCTCGGGGAGAATTGAAAAGAACCTCTTCCATGGGATGATATTAATAAAGGCCTGATATAGAAAACAGTTTTTGGTTGCTGCCATGACCTTAAGTTTTTAAAAAATATCTTTTCAGATCAATGGAGCCTGGGGCAGCAACTGTTATGTAGTAATACTTTTTTCTAAATCCATCTCCACATTGTTCATTGTTTGATGGTTAATTCAAGTACCATAGTTAGTGCTTAAGTAGGCCTTCACCTTCTTTGCATATTTAGGACAAAGCTTTTCTTGGTTTAGACTGCAGAAAAAAAAAAAATGGCAGCTTCTTTCCGTCCCTCCATTTAGGATGCCAAGATAGCATGTGATATTTCTAGCTCTTTTATGTTAAAATTCTAGTTCATTTTATGTATTTTTCTGCCATTATCACCCTCTTGCTCAAAACGGATCATCATATTATAGACGTAAGTTAAAATATATGAACCGCTGTTAATTTGGTTTCTGTAGAATAAGCATGGAAACAATCTTCTTTCTTTATTTGAAGGTTTCTTTGTGGAGTACTTCATTTGGAATATTGGTTGGTACTCTGACAGCTTGCTTAAATACATATTCCTTAGTCTCACCGCCGTCTTTATTCTGATGGCCACTGATTTACTTCAAGTCTTCATTATTTTTTGATGGGGCTAGTAAAATACTTTACCCATCTCTGGGCCCAACCACACTCATAACTCATACTCTACACCATAGGTAAGAATGGCTATTTACACACGGAAATCCAATTATGTCATCTTTGTTCACTTCAGTGGCTTAACATTACTTATAAGATAATGTTCAAATGCCTCTAGGATAGAGAAACAGACCTTTAGTGAACTCTATCTAAATCTATCCATCCTCATCTTCGTGCCTTGTCTAAATAAATTCTGCACTTAAGCAATACTAAACTGCTTACCTGCCTCTATGCTGTTTCTTTTTTCTTTTCCCCCATTTCTGGCTCACCCTGGCTCTGTGCTCCAAAGCACCATAATGATACTTCTACTGTAGTGCTTAGTCATGTGGACAGCTACAATGTAATGTGTCTTCATATAGATGGTAACCTTCTGGAGGTTTGGAATTGTATTTAGTTATCTTTTTTTAATTAAATGAACAATTGAATCTCTAAAATTAATGATAATTTGATATATGTCTCATGCTATTCATGTTTCTTTTCCCTTTTAAAATGTGCATGTTTACTGTGATACAAAAAGTGTGTCATCATCCAGATATGGGCATTACCTGGGTATGGGTATCACCTAACAGCCTCTTACAAATGCAGAATTCTCAGGCTTTTAGACCTAGTAAATGAGAATCTGCATTTAAAAAAATCCCAAGGTGATTCATATTTATAATACAGATTGAGAACCATGGGTCTAGGAACTATTTCATCTAATAGTTCTAATTGCATTCAGGATATTCAGAAACCCCTTACCGGTGTCTCACATGTGTACTTTGGTGGAGTATACAGCTTTAGGAGTTCATAAGCTTTTCCCAGCAGCCCCAAAATCCTTGCTCTACATGACAAAGTTAATTTCTCTGAAAACAATCTTTATCATTTGTTAAAGCAACTTCTGCACCTGAATTAGATAGTATTCATATGCTGGATTATCCAAAGTAAGCTTAAAACAACCACTCTCAGACTGTGAATTAGGCCAGCTCATCCCACTCCTGATTTTTCCTGTGGACAGTTCTAACATTTGCATTGGCCTTTCAGCCTTTCCCAGATGAAGATAACTGCATTTTTGTTACCTATTCTTCTCTACAAGGATACTTATCTTGGGCTGCTTCTCTTTGTTACTTTCATTGTCTTTGAAAGCTAACTCTAATTTCCCATTTTCTTCTCTGTCTCATATTTCTTCTTTGCAATTATATTCATCCATCACCTGTCTTTAACATAGTCTAATCTTAGTTCTACTCAGCTCTTGTCTCAATATTAATAAATAAGAAAGGCTGCATATCAACAGTTTTATAGTCTTTTGTTTCTTTAGTACTAATCATCCCAGAGTCTTGAAAAGTGCATAGAATCTCTGTATATCTTCCAACACCTTTTATGTATGTCTTTTCATATATGCATTATTACTAAATATTTAAGTATA